GATCTGATTCTAAAACAAAGTTCCCCCTCCCTGACCTGAGCAGAAAAGCAAGTCAAAATCTGTGCATGAGATTCTCAGAGGTTCCATGACAGATGGTGATTAAGGATCTTAAAAAAGTTCAGCCAAACAACCCAACCGCTGTAAAGGCATTTACAGGTTATTCCCAAAGGACAAACTAAGAGTCTGAACTATGTTTCTTTGCAAAAGGCATGCTTAGTAGACCAGACACTGTCCTTGGACTTCAGGGGGAACTTGTGTGCTAAGAAAGGGAGCTCCCCCAGGATCACAGGTTTAAATTTGTACTGTATAGTGGGAGGAGGAGGGAAGGCATAATATACACAAGGCAAAAACCCTGACAACACAGCTGCTTTGCAGCCACTAATGTAGCCTCCAGATGCTGTAGTAGCTTTTTAATTTCACATCTCAAATCTTCAGGGAAGTGAAGCTCGTAGACATATCAGCGTATTCCTAAACCTCATCCATTCGCAGCAGAGCTGGGGAAACCACTCATCTCCAATACACTGGGAATCTCTGCAAACTTGATTTGGGGTGTTCTTCCCCTTTGGCAGGTTCTCCAAACCTAACCAGCTACCACTCAGCCTTATGAAACACAAGAAAGAACCACCCTAGTCCTCCTATGTCCAGCAACCTCACAGCCCCTTCCCAGGGAGTTGCATGTTCTCCATCCTTGTGGCACACTTGTTTTTATGGATACCTGCTTTGTTCTCCATCCAGAAGACAGTGGTAGGCAGCAATGTCTTTCTCCAGCTGTTGTTTGCTGGTCAGCAGATTTTCACGATCCCGCTGCTGCTGCTCAGTTTCTACTTTGATTTCTCCCATCTCTGCCTCCAGCTTGGAAATGACAGAGCCCAAGTTCTGCAGTTCGATGTCGTGCCAGTGCTTGGCGTCGTATAAAGAGTTCTCCAGACCCCTTTTCTGTAAGGGCAGGACAACAGACATTAAACCAGACAGTTTTAATATGCTTCATAGTGATTTTTATTCAGGTTTGGCAGTATCTCTATGGAATATGCTTAAGTGGAGATGTACTATTTTGAGAATTCCTTTCTTTAGATAGTTTGAAAAATGTGTATTATCATTACAAAGGTTGAACTACTTTGGTTACAAGGCACAGATATTCTTCACGCTGTCAAGTACTACCCCACCCAGCAATCTCAGTGAAATTGTTATTGAACACTGAAGAATGAAATCTGGGGCCCGTTTGTCAAATGTGGTATACTTAGTGCACCATGTCAGTCAAGAAGAACACAGAAATATCTGGCATCTCTGATAACAGTATTTGCTAGAAAATGGGATTCATTCTTAAGTCTGCATCCCAAGATGGGAATGTTTTCCTCAGAAGGCACGTTGAATTTGCGCAGAATGTACCCACGGAGAACCCAACATACTTACCAAGGTTCTCAAAGATTCTGTTTCTGCTTGCAAGCTCTGTATTTTGCAGGCTGTTTCATGGAACTCGGTTCTGAGCCCCTCCACCAGCTCTTCCTCCTGGGTTCTCACGGCAGCCGTTGTTTCAGCCTGCTGCAGGTAAAAGATTGCAACTTGTCACAGCCTATTCAAATTACGTTTTATTTTCGTAACATACAAAACTGACAGTTAATATTTTCACAATTTGTGGCAATTCTGACTTTAAGTTTGATTCTTGTATATTAAATCACTCGGATTAAATCACTCAGTCATCACAATTCTGGATGCTTCTTAGTGTCAAAATTGTCATATTTCCTATGCATTTACTGTAAAATGGCTTATATAAATGTGTTTATTTTATCTATGTCAACAAAAGCTGTTCAGCATTCATACTAGTATGTTTAATAAGAAAACATTGCTGTAATTCTTAATTTTGTTGCTATACTATAATATTTTTTTAAAAAGATAAGTGTTTTTACTTAGTCTGTTGGATTTCAAAAGTATTCACACCTTGATTTTTCACATAGGATCCTGTAAGTCAGGGGGGAAGACATATCACAGAGGACAGAAAAATAATTTGTTAATTGAATTAAGATATTCTCATGCAATTTCATGCTCTTGTTTCTTGTGGGTTTTTAATTGTGTTTCACTCAGGCTCCTTGAAAATAGGTGAAGGAAAAGTTACCTTAGTAAAAATAAGATTTCTGTACTTTTTAATGAGGTCTGAGAGAAAGGTTTTCAATCCAGAGCTCTGGGCTCTCTAGCAAATACAATTCTTTGGTCAAAACCTACATTTCTTCTGGTTGACACTAAAGTTAAACTACGCAAAATACTTCCATTCCACTCTGAAAATTTCTCTTGATCCTGACCTGCTTTTCTGATTATACATTCTTTTATCTTAAAAGTCAGATAAAATTTTAAAAAAATCTGGGACCATGCACCAGAAATAATTTTTATAATTTCTTTTTAGTACCATCATGTGAACCCCACATCTTGGTCATTGTGAATTAAATAATCTCAGGTGCAGAAGGTCACTTAATTAGTAGATAAGTCTCAAACAGAACTTAGGGTTTATGAACCTGTGTTGCAGAGGGCTGAATTTCAATCCAAACACCAAAACTGTCCTTTCCAGCAAATTGCACAGAGCCTGTGTTTTCCAGAAATACTTTACAGGGGCTTGTGCTTCAGAGAGACAAAATCCTACCTCACTAGTCCTGGTGAGCCCAGCCTAGTGATCATGGACCAGCCTCTCTGGAGTAATTTGTGTCTCCCAAATTTTGCTGAGAGTGTAGTCTGCACATTATTGTGGTACAAAGACTATAAATGCCTCTTTTTGAAAGAGGTACATAAGGCAGTGAGTATCTGTATTTGCATCTGTATTTATAGCCTACACCCATTACCTGAAGCCTGGCATCTCTCATTCACATTTACCCTTCTGGTGCCCCAAATGCTACCTATAAATCCAACTTGCCCTCACCATGGGTGATGCTGAAGCTCCTCCAGGAGTTACCCTAAACTTTCATGGCTACCTGACATTAGTGATGTGAATGATAGAACAGGCAGATGGAGTAGATGGAGGTGGGCACATCAGGCCCTAAATACTGAGGATGACATAGCGTGTAAGCACACACTGAATGAGCTCTAAAGCTTCTGGTACACGCAAGGTTTCCCCATCCTCCTTACAGCTGAGTCGCCCCAAGTAGGGTGCTGCTGGGCATGACTCTTGGCCTCAGCTTTGCGGTTCTTTCTGTAGAGCAGTGCAGATATAGTCTTTGTGCCTTCTTCACTAGGCAATTCGTGTTTTCTGGGGGCTCTGCTCTTCTTATTCTTGGAGATGCTCCACAAGGGAAAGGCTATACCGAATTGTGGTGCCCACAAACAACTGGATTAATGGAGGGAGAAGATGAAATCATCCTCCTAAATCTTCATTATTTTGGTGCTTGAGTTTCCTAGAAATGTGTGGATTTCAAGCATGTTTGTACAGTTCTGAGCCAGGCGTTGTGCAAGAGTGCAGAATCTCTCATTAGTCTGTTTTTCATGGAATCAAGATAATTAAAGGATTATTAGGGATAGAAAACCAACATCCAGGGTCTGATCAGCATAATATCTGTAGAAGGAAAGTGGCTTTGATAAGCTCTATGGAGTTCTGGGAACATGTTAGCAAAGTAGCAAAGAAGGGAGAAACAACTGACATAATTCACAAGATTTTTCAAAACCTTTTATGAGATCTAGCATAGGGGATGACAGAGGAAGCTGTGTAATCATGTGCTCAGGGCAGAGCATTGCATGGACCAACAACTGGTCAAGAGACAGGACATGAAGAGGAGGGTTAAGGTCTAGTTCCATTATGACAGAAGTTTAACAGCTTGATACCTCAAGGTTTATTGCCTTGGGGATGAGTCATGAACTAGAAGGACTTATGGATGGCAGAAAATATCAATTAGCAATGAGCAAGGTGGATATGTGGAATCAAACTACGTGAATGAACAGTGCCACATCATTAAGTAAAGCATGAAAGGGGAAAATATTAAGCAGTTTGTGTGCTTTACAAGAGTTTAAATCACTTGTGTCAATTCAGGGAAAAGTTTTGGGCATTATAGACAAAAAAGTGCAGAGCTCAAACCAATGGACTGGAGTCTTGAAGTAACGTACTCATCTAAAAAAAAGTCCCATGTGAAATGCTGTTAGGTATAAATATAAATTGGTATGTTTTGGTGCCTGAATACCCATGAAAAATCTAGAAGACAAAGCAAATGAGGCAAGGGAATTGGTCAGAAAATAACAAAAGTACTGCCCTGAATGTCAGTCAATGCTAGGACATAATTTGAAATACCTTGGTCTCAACTGGTTGCAGCTACACCAAAGAGAGGATGCAGAGAAAGGAAATTAAAGCACTAGGGACCAAGGAAAACTCTCAAAGAGAAACTGAAGAAAACAGTAGTGAAGAGCAAAGGAGAGCAAAGGAGAGGAGGGAACTGTTCTCTCTCCTCTGATGTTGCAAAAGAGCAAGGACACATTTCTCACAGTGTGGATAACCAAATGGTGCAACTTAGCCACGTAAGATGATGTAAGTCCACAAGTGTAGTAGGACATAATTAGCAGAACTCATTATCTGTATAAACAGCAATAATCTGAATAGATCTATATGAGAAACAAAACCATGTAAGATACAAAACTGCGTCATCTGGATTTAATGAGAGGTATATTTGGGGATAAAAAGTAACAGTCTGGCACGCTCGCAAACTTGATGGGATCTCTGGGATAAACTCCTCTGGCTGGCTTCTCGTACATTCCCTACCAGGTCTGGTGTCACTGGGGTCACAGGATTTTTCTTCTTTATTTTGAAAATAAACAGCTCCTCAGAGCTTGAATATATCTTTGCAAACATATTTCTTTATTTTCTTCTTGCAGTTTGGCTTCAGTACCCTCTACTCCTCTCATAGCAGCTCTGTACCATGGAATGGGGGATGCTATGTTTTTGCTAAATATTTCTATAGCACAGCTGTAGCTACAATTTGATGTGCCGTGATCTGCTGCAATAGCCAACTCAGAATGAGATGGCTTCTCAAATATAGGATCATGCACTGAGCTTAATGCTTCAGCTCTGCAAAAATACTTATTTCAGCAAGCCACTTTGGAAAATGAGTGATCCTTCCTGACAGAGAAAATGCTGCATTAACAGGCTGCTTCAGACTCGGCATCAGGAGAGGGGAGGACTTTTAAAGGGAATGGCTGTTATCATCACTTTTAATTTCTAAGTTAATAGCTGATTTTCCCACCACTGCCAAAGGAAACAATTTCAAGGAGAAACCCACAAGGAGTCTGTAGCTGTGTAATTAGTGTAGAGCAATGTATTTTGCCATTTTGGTTTATAAACTCCTGTAAATTTTTCAGTGAAGGATTGCCCTAGTAAGAAGGGTAACAACTGTGGCTTATCCGACACAGAAGGTATCTACTGATTAAGTTTTGTTTTTTTTTTTTCTCAGCCAACATTTCAGAGCCCTTAGAAGTCTCCCACACATGCCTCTGATATCACCAGAGTCACTTCCACCACTACGTAACTCTGTGCATCCCAAGAAAGTCACTGATATTTATGAGTGTATTTTTTAATGCACTTGGACCAAAATCCTTTAGATTTTTACAATATTTTTTGTTTCAAGAAAAAACCCAAACACTCAGTCCTCAAAGTTACTGCAGTGTATTAGGCAGATTTTGTGTTTGCTTCAAATTCCTTAATGTTGGAGTGGGTAACAGAGCGCTTACCTTGGTACGGAGCAAGGCACCTGTCTCAGCACGATTCTTTTCAATGTCTCTCTCCCAGTGGATTCTGATTTTTTCCAGTATGTCATCCAGGCCAGTTCCTAGGGGAACATCAAGTTCTTCCATCTGAGATCCAGCAAGTTGCTTGTATAACACCTTCACATCCTTGAACAAAAATAACAGACATGTGAACTGGACAGAAGGTAAACTGGAGAACTGAATGGCAGCTGCAGAGGGGCTTGAGGAAGAGCTGTTTTGGTTACACAAACAGAGAATATTTAAATTTGGTCCTGAAAGGTGTCTCTATCTGAATGATTTAGTGCACTGAGGGGTTTCTTTTTCAAATGTTCAAATGTGGACTTGCCTTGCTTCTGTATGGGTAGTCTTGTTGGAGTTCCATGTGGTGGAAGGAGGCTGAAGCTCTGCCCCAGAGCACTGTCTGGAGCAGCCCTCTCCCAGTGGCAAGTTTTGCCAGCGACCAGAGCTTGATACACGCACATGCTGCACACTCAGAACCACAACTATTGCACTGTGCAATAACACAGACATCATCTACTGGGAGATACAACAAGTTGTGCAGAACAGCAGGAGTTCTGCAGCCTTGCAGCTTGTGTGAACCACGTGTGCTTTTATGCATGCAGAGCACTCTCCCCTGTGTACTATGTTCTGTTCTTTCTTTACATATAAGCACTCCAAAAACACGTAAGCAGGAGAGAATTAGTGTGTCCAGAATTGTGTGCTTAAAGGTAGCACATCAGTTGTACGCTGTGTTCAGGAACACAAGAATAACTGGGATTTGCACATGTATCTGAACTGTCTGGCCCCACAATCCTTTTACATCAATCTGTTTATATGTGCTATTGACATAAGCAAAAAAAAAAAGTGGTGTAAAAGCATCAGGGAATTGTTTTTCTAGGCAGTGGCCTCTGACAGAGACAGTACTGGAAATAAAAGGATGGGCAAGTGTATGTGAATTATGAACCTGCAAGAATGAAAGCCACCAAATGTGCCTACTCCAAGTGCACAAAAGCTTCAAAAGGATTTGACATGGATTTCCTAGCAAGGACACTGGAGGAAATGAAAGTTTGAGTTGGTTCAGGAGAGTCTTTGGGAATTTATTGTGCCAGAGCTCAGCTGGAGTAATTGCAGTTGTTGCTTCCAGCCTTTATTCTACCACTTCTCTTCAGCAGCTTCCCCTGGTGCTGCTGCTGTGGGAAAATCAGGTCTGTGCTGGGGTAGTTCTGTAAATGCTTGGATACTCCCAACAGATAAAGAAAGGAGCATCCTTCCACCCTGCAAGGGCTCCTCGCTGCCTAAACGCAGTGAGAGGGGCTGTTGGAAAGCTGTTTTTCTCGTTATGCCATGTATGTGGGCAGAGAACAGCATCAGTGCCAACTTTTCTGGTTTCACAGCAATCATTGCAATACACAGAGAATTAAAGGGGATCTTGTGTAATTCTATCAATTTTCTATTTTCCCTCTTATGTAAAACAATTTCCATCTTTCTCATACTGTGAAGTGGTGCTGAAGCCACTGATTATTTTCTGCAAAATGCCAGCCTTGGGATGAGACTTGTGAGAGCAGGGAGAGGATGAAGCAACCTCATCTTGGAAACCCAAGTCTCCATATTACCTGCTAATGTTGCTGAAATCTTGTGGTTGGAGAAATCACCTGAAAGAAATGTAAGGCAGGATAGTGCCTCACTTCTATGAGCCATCTCAATTCAAGCTCTCTCTCTTTTACTTTTGAGGTGTCAGCACAACTGCTTGCTGTCCCTTATTGGGGGGATTTAGTTGTAGCTCCATATTCAAGCCCCCATCAGTCAAGATGCTAATTTGAGTCCGATCCTGAAGCCTCTGCTGAAGGGAATAAAACACCTTAATGTAAATAGTGCTGGTGAATGTAATAAGTAAGTGGGAACATATTGCAAAATTGGGTAATAATGGGCTTCCCTTCCAGCTGCCCATCCCTGTGACTTGCTTCAGTGGTGCGTTGCTCAGGACAGACTTGATTTCAGGAACTGAGCAGCTTGCTAAGCCAAGCAGTTTTTCAGAAGAGTGTGGTTAATGCTCAGCCTTATTGCAGCAAGACAAGAGCTTGCTCCCTGCATGGGCATCACTGTTGAGATGTCCACATGTGTGACTGTGCAACCCTGTGACCATCGTGTGGTGTCTAGCAAGAAGTGAAGCAAAGACACCTCTTCCATGTCATATTTATCAGACAAGAAAGATTTAAAACTTAAATGCAAGTAATTTGATCGTGCCTAAGAGATTAGTGCATTAAGTTAACAGAGAAGAGAGAAATAGGAGCAGCTTTCAGGACAATCCTCCCACCCAGACAATGCCAGTGGAGCTTTTTAGTGCTTGCTTTGCACTAGATGTATGATACCAACTGGATGAAACAGGCACACAAAAGCTTTGCAGTCCTGAGTTTGGACTTACTTCTTCATGATTCTTTGACAGCAAAGTTAGTTCTTCTTTCATGCTCTCTATCTGACTCTCCAGATCCATTTTAGTTAAATTAGCATCATCAATCACTTTGTATAGGGAGTTAATTTCATCTTCCACTGCTTTTCTGAATGGCTGCTCATTTTCATACCTGTAGAGGAAAAAAAAGATAAGAAATCTCCAAACCTTAATGCAGCACAGCTCAGCAAGAAACACCTGCATTTTTTTAAATGACACCACTGTGCTAATTAGCTCATGTGTCCCAGACAGAGGCACAGAAACACAGAAGATATACTTTGCTCTCACCTTGTCTTGCTATACTTGAATTTAACTGCCTTAAGTACCCTGTCATTAACTCAGAATGTAATAAAACAGGCCAAGTTAGCAGTCTGCACTATGGTGGTTATCAGCCTGATAGGGTTCCTGAATAAGCACGGAGAGGCATGTGGTCTCTTGCTAGATCCAGTATTTACAGACAGTATGACTATGGGAGGCTTTTTCTTGTTTTGCTTAGCTATAAAATGAGAATAAATGCTCATTTGTCTTCATAAAATCTTTTCAGAGCTATGGTTAAAGAAAACACATGTGCATCAAGCCTTACTTTTAGTAATGGACATGCTGATGGAAGTCTGGTCTATGTTCCAGGATCCCAGCCCATCCTTAAGACCAAATCCCAGTAGTACCAAAATAAATAGGAAATTTGAGCAGCTGGTTTGTCAACTAGAGTTGCTGTTAAAGCAAACAGCTCATTTCTAAACCGTGGCTGCAACGGTAGAAAAAATTGTGGCAGGCAGTTGCTACTCTACAGAGTTGCTTGCTGCACTGCTCTTGTTTGTACCTTTTCATTTTAGGCTTTCCGTTGAAAATGTGGTTGGGTTGTGTGGTGAATCTCCTTGGGTGGGAGGCTTTTGAGTCAAACCCAGCCAACATGGGGACCTGGTGGCCAGGGAGGTTAGATGGGGGGGTTGGCAGGTTAGACAGGAACCACCTTCATCAACAAGTCCTGCACTCTGCCCCTTGAGAGCCACCTTCCTTACAACAGCTTGGGAAAGTGCCAGCTGGTCCCAGTGAGAATTAGGAGCTTTTACTATGCAGTGGATTGATTTGACATTGTTTTTGTTATGTAGACTGCTTGTCCAAGTCAGCTGACATTGAAAAAAAAATATTTTTTACAACTCCTTAAAATATGAGTATAGCTTGCTGGATGTAAAGCCATAAAATGAGTAGCTCAGAGTTGTACCTTTCTGAAATAGAAGGTGAACCTAAGGACATGCTTAAGACATGTTTTGATATGATTAAATAAAATAATATCAGAGAGAGAGACAGACGTTTAAAGGGTGATAAAAATTACAGTAAATAAAAATCAATTAGTTTGAGATACAGTTTGTGTGTCAGATCTTGCAAAAAGCTATTTGTAAATGAACAAGTCCATTACCAATGAAGGCTAGAAGGATCATCAGGCCTCTGAGTAAACTGTAAAGAATTTCATGTACATGAATATTAGGCTTTTCAAATGGAAAGATGTTTAAAAAGTAGTTTGTCAGTATTTAAGATCATCTTTTACTATTCATTTCGCTCAGTAATGACAAGGAAAATCAGTGCAGCCCATTTCTGTTTTCTTATCTAACGTTTCCACATTGACGTTTGTAGTGGTACAGTTTTTGCTTTTTAGGTGCTGCAGTAGAATGATTTTTAGTTCCAAAACCACTTGTGTGGCACTGCAAATTAAAACTAATAATCACATGAATATTTGCCTTTATAAAATGTCAATCCAAATTTGAATGAATACTGACCTCTTGGTAAGAGATCAATGTCCCTATATCAAAGAATAGCTTAAGTAGTTTTGCTAGTCCACATTTTGTTACTATAAATCTTTAAAATCTTCCAAAATTATGTCAGCATCATAGTTATTTTGCTGTTACCAAAGCCCTCCCATGTCAGATGGTTGAATATTCAACTTGAAAGGATGAGCCCATTCTGTTCACCAAGCATTACTCCCCTACAGAGTAAGCACTTGCTGAGGCAAAGTTTCAAAGGAAGTGGCCAGCTAGGTGCCACTACAAGACTACCTGTCTTTAAAATCTTCAGCACAGGCTTGAATGTTCTCGGTGTGCAGCATAAGACGAGCATTTTCAAGGACTGCTTCGCCCACCTAGAAGAAAGAGACAAGAGAGCTCAAGCAATGAAGAGCTTCAGCACATTATCTACGTACACTGTACATGTACCTTACATAGATGTATAGCTTTGATTCTGAAAATGATCCTTTAGCCTAGGGCTGTTCAAGTGGCTCATTCCAGATAATTTAATCAACTAATTTTGTACATACAAATTCACGTATTCTCTGCAAATAGGCTGCAATTTGTCACCAAACTGTTCATTGCTCCTTCTTGTGGAAATACATTTATTCTGATTGTCAGCTGGTCGCAGAGGGTAAAAGTCATTACTGTGTGCAAGGTACGTTCATCATTTAAGTCCCACTTATATTTTCTAGATACAGGTTAAGTAGCACTTATGCAGTTCCTATTCTACTTCCCATATGAGCAGTCCTCTTCAGGGTTGTCCTCTTCAGTGAGCCAAGGAATACTGGTTGCTC